CAAAGAAAGTTTATTAGCCACTGATGAATAGATTCCTTAAGATTTGAATATTACAATCTAGAAACAGCAGTCTCTTTCTTAAGGCACAAAAATTAGGTTATCACTTTTTACTACTTCTAGTACCAAACAGTCAAGATAGCTTATTGGAGAGCAAGATGGTTTCACTCCTTCCTTGAATATGCAACGTAATTTTGTTACTTAAAACCCAGATGCAGATTGTTGCCAGTGAAGATGTTCAAGCCAAATTTAGCAAGGACAAGATTAAAATGCTGGCAGTCAGAAAAAAGTTGTGCTTGTAAGCTTAGTAGAGAGCAGTGTTAGTCTGAAATCAGGCAGAAAGCAGGGCCACTTTGACCAGTGCCATTAAACATTTTGGTTGCAGGGGCCTCCAGCTGCCTTTCTGTACAGCTGATAGACTGTGCCGCCTTTCTTTCTGCAGCTGATGTCAGATCAGTTCATTCATTCTTACATGTAGAGACTGTCCCAACCAGCAGGCCCCAACATGACACCCAGGCCAGGCCCCGCACCACTTCTGCCAGGCCCTGTGCACTGTCTCATGAAAATTATGTAAATTTAAGATCCAGTAAGCCAAGCATTATCATCATGAACAAGGGGAGTTGGGAGGAGAGGAGAGGAGGGGTAGGTTGATGCTATGATACATGCAGGCTTCAGCACAAGCAAGGCTCCTCAGCGTGATCCTGCCTGATGTCCAATAGCAGACCTTGCAAAAATAGGTGCAGGATGAGGGAGAAAAGCCAAGGAGAACATAAAAGAACAAATTTGAAAAATGTGAAAGTGAAGTAAGAGCTCTCTCCAGACTGTGGAGTATGGTGGCCTCAGTCTGTCCACTGAACAATGGGCAACTTACTAGAGGGAGAAGGTGGCCCATTGTTCAGCAGACAGACTGAGGCCACCATATTCCATGGTCTGGGGAGACCCCTTACTTCCCTTCCACATCTTGCAAATGTGTTCTCCTTTTTTGTCTTTTACATCTGGATTTCCTCTGGGCTTTTCATTCCTAGGCCTAAAAGCACTTGGAAAAAGGTGGGCAAGTGTTGTTATCCCCATCTAGCAGGCAGTTTTCCCTATGTGAATTGCCCATTAGCTACAAATAAGTCCGCAGTACTGTTTGCTTGAAATACTCGTGACATATTTGAAGAATGTTTCAAATACTTAGCCTATCTTCACCATCTGTTTGGGGTCCCCTACCTGTTGTAATTATGTGACAATAACTCACTAAAGATAATGTTTAAAATAAGTACACTTTTTTTTTTTGCATAAACATGCAAACCATTTTTTCCAAAAGAAAGTAAACAGAGACAGCCAGCCACTCTGTCAGGACAAAGACCCATTTGTTTAATTGGGTTTTTATTCCTCTATAAACAAGTTATCACAGAAAAAGTCTACTTTTTCCAAGACAAAAACTAAACATCCCTCAATCTGGAAAGTTTTAAACTGAAGGTGACCTCTCACCAATTACTTTAATAAAATAAAAAGGGTAAACTGAATAAGCATTTTGGTGTTTCTTATTCCCTTTAATACATCATTTAAAAACTCTGCCAAAAGAAAGATGTACAAAACTGGACATTTCTGTTAATAAAAACATGTCCTTAATTTTTGAAATAGTGAATACAAACATCATGTTTCAAACTTCCTTTATATGCACCTTTATTGTTTAAAGTTTCACCCACTGTTATTCTTAATGTCAACTAATGACTGTACCTTGACTTTTTCAACAAAAAAAAAAAATGGCAGCTTCTACTAATAATCTTTACTCAAAGCTACCATCTTCTGTCAGTTTACATCAATTTGCTTCTCAAGCGTGGGAAAATAGTTCGTCCAATTCATTACAAATCTTTGCTTCTTTAACACATTTTGTAAATGTCCACAAGACAGATATTTTTTTAAGTATGTAGCTTGTAAGGGGGTGTGTGGGAGGGGGCTGCCTGGGAGCTAGCTGGGAGTGAGGGCAAGGAGGGGGAGGTGGGGGTGCATGCAGCAGAGCTCACCCAGTCAGCAGCTGCCCCTGCAATGCTCTATACGGCCGTTCCATGCTCCTACCCACACCTGCCAGCCCTGGCCCCAGCCCGGCCCCCGTCCAGCGCACAGCTTTTGGCGGGGTGTTCTCAGCATGGCCAGAGCTGGCCACACACACATTGTCACCAGGAGGCAAGGGCAGCACAGCAGCACTAAACTGGCTGCAACCACACTAGGAACAGCCCCGCGGGAAGCTGCCTACTGGCTGAGGCTCGGGCTGGCAGGGCTGTTCTGCTCCCCCACCTGCCTCCAGCTGCAGCCGCGGCTCCTGCCACGCCGCTCCAGGATGGCATGAAGCTTCAGTTGGCAGCTCCTGCCCAGTGCATGGAGCTCCTGCTCCAGGCTGCCTTCCACCTGCTCTGCCCACCTGCAGATGGCTGATCATTGCACTGGGTGGGCAGAGTGGGTAAAAGGAAGCTGGGTGCTAGAGCTCCATGTGGTGGGCAGGAGCTGCCAACTGAAGCTTCCCGCCTGTCCACCCAGAGCAGTGGCAGGAGCAGCAGCCTCAGCTGGAGGCAAGGAGAGCAGAACAGCCCCACCAGCCCAGGCCTCAGCCAGCACGCAGCTTCTGGGAGGTGGGGTGTGTGCTGTTCCTGGTGTGGCTGCAGCCAGCCAGATGCTGTTGTGCTCCCATCTCCAGTAGCTGCTCTTCCTTCCACTCCTTCCCCCAATGCACTGCTATGGGCAGGCAGCTCCCGCTGGAGTTGAGGGGAGCAGAGGAGCATCTGGCTGGCTGCAGCCGCACTGGGAACAGCCCCACCAGAAGCTTCATGCTGGCCGAGGCCCACGCCAATAGGAGTGTAGCGCAAGCTGCCCTGCCAGGAGCATGGGCTCAGGCCATGTTTGTGCCACAGGGGCAGCCACAGGCCAGATCCAGTCAGCTGGCAAACCAGATACAGCCCTTGGAGCCATATTTTGCCCACCCTTGCTCCAAGTACTCTACGAGATCCATCGTATGTAGCCAAACACTACATTACAACCGTATCTGCTCTGATCTCACCAACCAGAATGCACACCTTAATGATCCCTATGGGATCTTTTCTTCTTTGCTGCCTGTGAGCGAGCAGGCTTAACAGCTGCTCCTTGTCGCGTTGGGATCTTGGAGACCTCTACCTCAGTCTTCCTACCTCTTTTCTGCCACGCCTTTGATGTGAAGTTAGTTCTCAGGAGTCTAGATCATATCTGGCGTGATGATCCTACAAGCAAGGCTGGTCTTCTACAGGGCTCCACCACCCCCAAACCCTACCCCTTTCCTCTTGGGTGCCACGTCATCTCTTCCTGCTGGTACTGAGTGCAAGTCGCCAGTTCTTGGAGCCTCTCCGGCCCAGTGGACTGTGAGCTTCATGAGAGATCGTGGCTGGGTCCTCTAGACAGGTCGGTCCCTTTGAACGTCTCCACAGAGCTTGTGGTAGTCCTCCTTGGCTCTGGGATCAGTGGGTCCAGGACAGATGAAGTCTCGGCTTGCTCATCACAGGATTCACAATCAGGTGCTACTAGGTGTCACGTGTTGGCCCCTGGGCTTGATTAACCAGAACTTAGGTGTGCAAGGAATTGGACTTTTCCCCTGCTATACTGTGATTACTATGTAACAACACAAAGAAAAATTTCTGGGTCTGTGCTGGGCTTGAGCTGCACTATCCATAGCCACCCTGAGCCAGTAGGCTCTTTAGCTCAGTTCTTCCAGGCAAATTCCTTCTTTACCCAGGGCTCTCCAAGGCTGGCTGCCATCAGTGTCCCTTCCCTCTCTCTCAAGGATGCAGTACTCTCTCTCTCTGAGGTACTCCTCCTCCGGGTGTCCCTGTCTCCCTGCCAATAAGCCACCTGAAAGCCCCCGCCATCTGGCTTTACTTATCTAGAGGATAGGTAGAGTTCATAGATTTCATATTTCATAGATGTTAGGGCTGGAAGGGAACTCAAAGATCATCAAGCCCAGCCCCCTGCCCCGGGGGCAGGAAGTCAGCTAGGGTCAAAGGATGCCAACAAGATAAGCATCCAAGCGTTTCCTGAGTTGGTTCCTGAGTCGGGGTCGCAGTTTTCCTGACATCTCATGAGGGATGGGGAAGTACTGCCTGCCTGGGACCCTGCCACAGGAGTTCTCTCCCCGCATCTCCTCAGCAGTCCAGTCTCCCCAGATTCTGCCGGGTGAGTTCCCCATACCCTGGAACACCAAGGCAGTGCTATTTGTTCCATCTCTGCCGGGAGAAGCTGCCAGGAGGCTTGGGCTTCCCTCAGCGTGCTGGGCGGCGTGGTGCTCCTGGACCTGGCCAGGTGAGTCATTCATTCCTTTCAGGGCTTACAGGCCAAGACAGCACCACTTGTCCAAGCCCCAACACGGGCATTTTCCCTGACCTAGCCCCTCCGGAAGGGTCTAGCAGGGGCCTCTCCCCAACCCCTACTACACTCCCTCTTTCTCCTTTTCCTCTCCCTTTTCCCTTAGACTAAATAAGACGCATATCAGACTATATGGTGCATCTCTACCTGGTTTCTTCCTGATTTCAGACTAACATGGCTAACTACTTCTCTCTGCCTATAGAACTAGCCATCTGTGATAAGACTACAGCACTGCTAAAAACTTGAAAGCACTTGAGATTCATATTTAAATAGTTGCTAGTTTTTGCTACAAAAGATGCACATCAGTCAATAAGTGACTGAGATGAGGTGGCCTGTAGAGCTCCTAGCAGTCACCTATTCAAATGCCTACTGTATGGGACCATAAATGAAACCAAACAAAAATAGCAAAACACTGGGAGTACTAAAAAAAGTAAAATGATCATATACTGTATTTTGATTTACATATTACTGTTCCTTTGATTGTTGAGACTATAAGGGAAACAAAGGAACAGCCCAAGCTCTTTAGTCTGGGTAAAAAAAAAAAAAAGAGATTGTAAAACAAGAATAATAAAGAGAGAAAATAATAGGGCAGTGATGATAAATATTCTGAATTCCAAAGAAATGTTGATTACCTGGTTTTGGTGTTGCGTGGACATTTTTAGCTGAATTGGATGGTTCACTGGACTCAGGCGTCTCCTCCTTTGCATGTGTCTGGAGAGATCCAGATTCTACTTTCTCCTCAGCTACATCTTTGTCCATTTCTTCTTTTCCCTGGATTTCAGTCTCCACCTTCTCTTCAGATTCCACTTGCAGGGGTGTCAGTTCAGGCTGACTGACATCAGAAGCACTTCTTAACATGAAATCACTGGCAACTGCATCCCCTCCATGGGAATCCATAGGCTCTTCTGAAAATGAGACAAGTGACAATTGACAATGTAGATCAAATGATAGATGCCACACCCACACATTGCAATAATTTATTTTCAAAAGAACCCAAATAACTTAGAAACTACAATGACTATCAAGAAAGCAGATATATTTATGATCTCAACACCATGAATTTTAAAGTATCAAAATATCAAACAAAGGAAACTACTTCCCCAGTTTCCCAACCCATTACTTGTTTAAATGGTAGGGGGAAAATTGCAGAGTGAAATTCACTATGTAATTAATTATAGCTCATATTTGGCTCATGCCAATATCCAAAATATTTCCAACTTTAATGTTTCTTAACAAAAAGACAAAGATATTGTTCTTTTGTTCCAATATCCATTCACCCTGAAAACAGACCACATTTGTACTGATAATATAAATACATCTGTGAGAAAAGTTATGTGCTTTACTAGAGTGGAACATTCTCTACTGTCACAGGATATGTGAGAAATATGTTCACTTTCTGATGTAATAAAGAGGTGCTACATTGCCAACAGAAGCAGTGAGAAAAAACTTAGAACCTCACAAAGATAGCAGCCAGTTTCTGTGTTTCTTGATGCTAAACCAAGAAGTGACTGTCCAATTCTACAGGACAAAAAGCCAGCCTGTCCCCACTCATCTGTTCAATGATATTCAGATTGCAGCTTCAACAGCAGGGGTGAGAACCTGAGTTAATTGACTGAAACATCCCTTGCAAGAAAGCAGCCACCTGCACAATGCAGGTGGGGAAAACAAGCTATGAAAAAAATGGTAAGGAAACTTGTTTTGCTTTGAACCAAGAAGGGGGCAAAAGAATTTGTCCTCTGGCCTATTTCTGGGGCAATGCAGCCTAACCAGGGATGGGTCAAATACAGCCCGTGGGTCACATTCAGCCCACCAAGCAATTTCACCTGGCCTGCAGGGCCCCACTGTAAGCCCTGGTTCTGAGCTGTCCTCTGCAAGCCAGCACAT